ACTCCCTAGCAGAGAACTCGGTCTCTCTTTTTTTAAAATGTTAAATATCATTTACAGAATCATTTTTTAAAAAGATTTATTTATTTGAGAGAGCGAGCGAGAGAGAGCGCATGAGCAAGGGGAGGGGCAGAGGGAGAAGGACAAGCTGACTCTCTGCTGAGCAGGGAGCCCGACGCGGGGCTCGATCCCAGGACCCCGGGACCATGACCTGAGCCGAAGGCAGATGCTTAACGACTGAGCCACCCAGGCGCCCCTTTGTCTCTTTGTGATAGGCGAAAAAACTCAGTGCTTTGCTTTCTAAACTATGCAAACCACACTGACAGTTTTACCCACCTCCCCACCCCTGAGAACCCCTGCCGTAGTTTTCCACTTTCCATGTGCTCCAGAGTGTGTTCTGGGACAGCCGGTGGTGCCCAGGATGCTGTGTGCTCCTGCCTCGTTTACCCACAGCATTTTCCACAGGCAGGGCAGTGAATGTGTGGGAAAGGGACATGGCGTGGCCTGGCCTGTCCCCTGACCCCATGGCTTCTTCCCTAGGAGGCTGTGAAGCCAGTGCTGTCGCACTCGCCCCGTCCCCCAGACCCCCCTCAGGTCCTGTTCTCCTGTGCTGACGCCGGGCTCCGCCTCCTCGCCCCACTGATGCCCTTCCTGGCTGAGGAGCTGTGGCAGAGGCTGCCGCCCAGGCCTGGCGGCAACTCTGCCCCTAGCATCTCTGTTGCTCCCTACCCCACTGCCCGCAGCCTGGTGAGTCACGTGCCCCTGACGTCTGGGGATGGGACCACTGGTGAAGGGCTGGGGAGCAGTCTTCTCAAAGGGTTTGGTGCTGTGGGGTCACGGAGAGTCTTGGTTTGTACTTTAGTGTAGGGTCCTTAGGAGGATGAGTTGTTCTTGCAGGGCTGTGTTGGGGGCAGTCTTAGCCCTGTGGGCAAGAGCAGGACTACATTGCTATGTGACCGTGCCTCAGTTCCCCATCTTTAACCAGGGGTAGTAATAGTTTGTGTCATGGTTGTGGTGAGGATTAGATGTTAGTAATAGGAGGGCTCCCAAATACCTGCAGTTTTAAGCTTTAATAACTTCAGAAGGATAAGTGCTATAAACTCACCCCCAAAATCATTTTAAAGTTTAACTATTTAAATTTTTTTCTGCTTACTTGGTCTTGTGAGTACTTTTGATTGTTTGCCATCTTTGATCAGAGCAGTTAACAGACATCAATCACAGATGTCAGCCGAGACCTGCTTAGATGGTGCCCCAGGTTTTGCTTGAGGTGGTGAATTTTGTGTGTGGTGCAGAGGCCAGATTCTGTTGCCCTAAGCAGGTTGGGGTGGCGGGTGTGGGACGGAGCCAGGAGAGCTGATGCCGAGGCCCCCGGGAGCCTGCTTGTCAGCTCTGGGTCTTCCTCTCCAGGGGCACTGGCATCAGCCGGAGCTGGAGCAGCGCTTCTCCCGGGTCCAGGAGGCTGTGCAGGCACTGAGGGCTCTCCGAGCCACATACCAGCTCACCAAGGCCCGGCCCCGAGGTGAGATGGGCCCTGGGTTCCTGAGTCCCTGCAGAAAGGAGGGGCTGGTGGAGGAGCGGGGTGAGCCTGGAGGGCAGAGTCCAGAGTTAGGAGGTGCAGGATGGGAGCAGAAGCAGGATCTCATGCTTTGACCCTGAACAGTTTCCCTTTCCTCCTCAGTGCTGCTGCAGAGCTCAGAGCCTGGAGAGCAGGGCATCTTCGAGGCCTTCCTGGAGCCCCTGGGCACCCTGGGCCACTGTGGGGCCGTGGGCCTCTTACCCCCAGGTGTAGCGGCGCCCTCCGGCTGGGCCCAGGCCCCGCTCAGTGACACCGCCCAGATGTACATGGAGCTGCAGGTGCCCAGAGGCGATTGGAGGGGGAGGGAGGGATCGAAAGGATGTTGGGAGGATGGCAAGGTGCCGGTTCTGTAAAAGTGAGGCGGGCTCCTGAGAACGGGGCAGAGAGAGGCATTGGACAGGCTGCCCATGAAGCAGAGCTGCAGGGGGTGTAGAGAAGGCTGAGTCCTCCCTGTTCTTCCGCAGGGCCTGGTGGACCCCCAGACCCATCTGTCTCTGCTGGCTGCCCGAAGACACAAGTTGCAAAAGCAGCTTGATGGCCTCATGGCCTGGACCCCATCAGAGGGAGAGGCAGAGACTAAGAGGCAGCAGAGGGTGAGGCTGGAGGCCTGACTCCCTGCAGGAACGTGGGCTGGAGGGCATGGGCCTTCTATCGGGATCCTCGCCTCCTTCTCTTCTCGTCTAGCTTTCTTCCCTCCAGTTGGAATTGTCGAAGCTGGACAAGGCGGCCTCTCACCTCCGGCAGCTGATGGATGCATGTCCCAGCGCCGGGGAGCTCTGAGCACCAGCTCACTATCCCTGGCGGTTTTGTCCTCCCCCAGACCTGCCTTCGAGGACAAACAGATCTGGCAACTGTCGGGGCATGATGGGGCCTCTGAGACCATGTGGCTCACCTCCCTCATTTCATAAATGAGGAAACAGACTGGCTTGGTCGGTGTCACTGGGTGTCCTCAAGATACTTACGTTCCTGCCCAGCCTCCCTCCTATGCAGTCCCACCTGGAAGTTTAGGAATGAGATAAACCTTTAAAATCTCAAACATTACTGCCTGTGGTCCTTTTATCTCTCTTTCCCCTAGTGGTGGACTTTCTTGCCTCTCAGTGGTTCCCTGAGACTTTGGTCTAGGAAAGGAGGGGGGCTGCCTCTTGGCCTTGGGCTCTGGACTGCAGTGGAGTGTGCGTGCTGGTGGTGCCCGCCTTGTTGGAAGAGAGAGGAGCTTCCTAGGAGGGTCTGGGCACAGTGACTCGGGTTCCACCTACTTCTTAGAATTATTGCCAGTGCCTTGGCTTCTGTGGGCCCTTCCCCCTCACCAAATGGAAGCTCCCCTGTTCCTTGGCCTTACCTTGGGGGTTGCTGGAGAGGAGCAGGTACTTCCTGTGGGCCTACGGGGCTGCAGAGTGCACTGGGGCTGGAGTGCTGCTCCCATTCCGTGCCCCTGACACCAGTTGCCAGGGACATGTTGCCCAGCCTCTGACACATGTACGTCCCCACTGATGCAGACACCCACCCTGAACGTCTTGTGTCCTCCCCGTGGAATTCAGGGGCCTGCCTCTTACATGCCCAAGTTATATTCTGTCCAGCAGCTCTGAGTGGCTACTGTTTATGGTGGGTCTTTCAGGGTCTGGGGCTTCTGTGATGCCATTGAGAACCTCATGGTGGATGTTTGCTCCATTTTGGAAATCAAGAAATGTGCTCCGAGAATAAAAGCAACTTGTCCCAAGTATCAACTAGGATTCAACCCAGTAAACAGGTGCAGTTCATTTTGGCCACTATAAGCAAGCTTCAAATAAAATGGTGGCTTAGGCAAGGTGGAAGTTTCTTCTGCTGGGCAGAGGTAGGGCAGGGCAGGGCTCTGCAGAAATGGGAGGCCCACACCCCACTGAATCTTATTTCCTGCCATTCTGATGCACTCCTTCCAATTCGGGGTCTAAGATCTGTCCCAGCTCCCCACCCCCGTTCAAGTACTTCTTGAGTACTTACTACTGTGTGCTGGGCCCTATTCTGGACCCTTAGATTCATCAATGAATGATGTCACACAACGAATGTCACTGGCCCACTGGTGCAGGCTAGGATCAAGTCATGAAACACTGGGACCCTTTGCGGCTCCCAGCTACTTCTAGCCTGCTGGTCCTAGGACAATTGTAAAAAACTAGAGGAATTTTGTTTCACAGGTTTTTCTTTTCACTCCGCCATTTTCTATTCTCCCCTCATCTTCAGGGATAGTCTCTACAGAGCCATGCCTTCACCTCCCTCCAAAGGAGTCAGCATCTAATTTCACATGGTGTGTAGGTGGGAAGTATGATAGGCAGGGGCGAGGGCTGTGGAGAATAGGAAACGATCACATTAATACACCCAAATGGTCAAGTTTGGGCTGCATGCTTGCATTTTGAGAGAGGTGGTAAGAAGTCAAGATAATCTTGGGTGAGGATTCAGATGAGTGCCTGCCTCACGAATATCCGGAGGAGGACCCTGGACCCCTGAGGGGCCTAGGACTTACATGTTGGGACCGGGGTTCCTCCTTAACCACCCCTACTGCCCATTCCCACTTATCTGACATGTGCCCTTGGTAGCTGGTCCATGTAATCCTCACGGGGGTCCAAGCGGCAGGTACCAGCAATCATCCCCATGTTGCAGGTGAAGAAGATAAGAAATTTACCTAGGACTCAAGTCCTGTGGGACTGAATGTCCTCATAGCCAGCCAGTACAGCTCTGCTCCCCCGCTCCTCCCCACCACTCACACCGGGCTGGCCATCCCTTTACAGGTGGAACCTCTCATCTCCCACGTGGGCTGCCTCCCCCCACGCCCACCTCCTACCCTAACTGACCTGTGTGGGGCCTGTTCTGTCCACATTCCTCTCTGGGCTCCTGAGCTCCCAGCCCCAAGGCTGAAGCAAAGAGAGATGAAATGAAAATCCTGCTCAAGCCGAGGCATTTGTCTGGTGTTGGACCTGTCTGCTGCAAATGGCCCGCAAGTGAGTGACTCACCCTCGGTAAGCCTCAGTCTTCATCTGTAAAATTGGATAATGACACCTCTTATGCTACATTCAAGATCACTGCAAGCATCAAAATGGGAAAGCATCGAGCCTGGAACAAAGTAAGAATTCAGTACAGGCTGGTTTGCTTTATTCCTGGGTGTTATACGAAGATCTCAGCTTGAAGTGTATGTTCACGCACATGCGTATGTGGGTGTGGTGCGTGTGTCCCCAGTTAATTCCCCAGATTCTTTCTAGGCCTTTCACACTGGTGTTGAGGTAGAGGGTGTCTGTCCCGGAACCCCTCTGCTTAATAAAGGGGAGAGTCAGAGACTTTGGTGTCCAGTTGTGTTTTCCTGCTGGCCCTTTGCTCATGAACCCACAAAGGCAAGTCACTGAATTCAGCACATTTACTCATCAGGGTTAGGGCATCCCTCTTGTACCTCGGTGGCCAAATGCCTGGGCCAAGGGGGGGACACAGAGTTTGACCATTCTCAGACTTCGCAGGTGACATGGCGTGGGGATCCTGCATGATGGAGGGTGACGTTGGTCCCTGACGGGAGGTGAAGGAGGAGGCAGAGCTGGGGGACAGAAAGGGTTAGAGGGGAATGGTGTAAGATGGTTCTCACTCATCCCTTGGAGATGGCCAGGCCCCAGCAGGGAGGCCCACACCGAGTCAGAAACACACTTCGAGGTCACACAGCCTTGTTTTTCCCCTCCCAAAGAACTACCTTCTCGAGCAATTCCAGGAAGCTGGACTCATAGGAGAAATTTGTTAGAAAGGAGCCCTTCAGCTTCAGCTGCAAAGTCAATCCTGGCCCTAGGGACCCAAAAACAGAGCTTAGGGCCGTATTCCCTCAGAGACATGAGTACCCCATCCCCTGCTCCCCTCCCCCGCTCCTCTTCCCTGACAATGCCCTTCCAGACCCTACCCATGCAGGGGTTCAGCCCCAGGCTGAGAGCTTGGGACTGGGTGCTCTGTCCCTCTCACTCCCCTCTTTGGCCTCTCCCTGCCATGAGCACCCAGGCATCAAGCCCTCCGGCCCTCACCTGTTCCCTGGGAGCTGCCCAGGAGAGTCAGGAAGAGGAAGAAGGGCATCCTGGCCCCCATTGTGGCCCCCTTGCTTCTTGCTTCGCTGATGGACAGAAGAGATGTCTGAAGCTCTGGCTGGCTCTCCTTACCAGACCTGCCTTTCTGTACTCCACTCAATCCTTAAGCCCAGGCGTTTGGGGGGAAAGGGGAGAGGGAAGCTGGGTAACTGGATTTTCCAGTTTTCCCAATAAGGCTTTGAGGACCCAGGAGAGGGCCATTCACTGGGCTGTTGGGGAAAATAGAAGGTGGTTCCCTTTCCTCAATCCTGTGCCCCCCTCCCCTATATCTGGAGACTTGAGGGGGTGGGTGCCCAGTCCTACAGAGAGGGAGGTTAAGGAGGTGTCCCTCCTGTAGGTGTCCGGGCCCCACCCAAACCCGGGCCTCTCCTTGCTCTTCAGGGATTAATTATTAACTGCAATTACTTTCCATCTTTCACACCACCAAAGGGTTCAGGAATGTGGGCCCAAAAGGGAGGGGTAGATTACACCAAGTTTCTTCCCAAACCCAGGTGTCCTGCTCCCCCAGGCACAGTGGTTTTCTAGGTGAGAAATCTGTGTAAGGGGGAACTTTCATCTTTGAATGTTGTGTTTTACTTGTTCTAAAACATCCTATCTATTCAGGTGGAGACTTTCATCAAATATCCTCCCAACCCTTGCCTTATGCACACTCATCCTCCCAATCAACAGCTGTATACACAGGCACTCCGAATGACGAAAACAAGGACAGATATGGAGAGAGAGTTTGGAGCCCATCTAGTTTACCCTCTTTCATTACAAATTAGGAAACCAAAGCCCCGAGAGGCCATATGACTCACTAAGGTCACACAGCAAGCAGGTCAGTAGCAGAGAGATTAGAACCCATCCCTCATTATGCCAGACACAGGGACAAGCTCAACAGATTGACACACTAGTCACATAAACCCCCCAGAACACACAAAAACACATGCCCTTCGTCTTCCTACTTGCATGACTGTGTACTATCACCCTCCTCCCATGAAAACCAGTGGCCCAAGCAAAGGGATGGAAGCAGTGAGACCACTGGGCAGACTCAAGGAGAGAAGCCAAAAGCAAAAACAAGAAAGTGGAGAGATGGAGGGAGACACTGCTTACACCATAAAAATAAATAAAGTGAGGCATTCAAGGACTCGCAGACTTGCACAAGAGAGCAGGCAAACAAGAATGGAAAGAATATATGGGCAGAAAGATCAGCAGGCAGAGGAGGTATGAGCTGGGGGTAGAAAGCAGGAGCACAGACAGATGCTTTGGGGCAGTCTTCTTAAGAGGAGAGTGGGGGCACCCTTATGTCTTTCCCAGCTGGTGCCCCCAACTCTTTCTATATAGTCATGGCTGACACTGCTGTTTGCTAGGAACATTCGAACCATTATTTCCTTTAATTCTTGTAATGACCCCTTTGAAGTAAGTACTAGATCACCCCATTTTAGGGGTGAAGAAATGAAGACTTAAGTCACATGACTTGCCTGAGATTGCGTAGGTTGGGAGTAGTGGATTCAGTGCCGTTTGTCTTCAGAGCTAGGTTCTGAACTTCTGCATTGCACTGTCCTGGAACATGATTCATGTCTTCCCTGATGCTCCTCTTCTCCCCTTGCCCCTTCTCTGCCAAAGGAATGGAAAGCTTTGTGGGCCACAGCCAGCTAGGTGAGAGATGGCTCAGGTGTTTACCCTGCCCTGAGGTCTCCCAAAGGTCAGATGCAGGCCCCAGGCCTTGACATTCTCCACCTCCATCCAGCTCCCAAATTCTGCTTCCTCAAGGGACCCGTGTATACTCACCCCCAATGGTTGTACTTCTAGGAGCAAGAGCACTCTGGGAGAGGACACCCTTCCTTTGAGGAAAGTCTGGGCTGGAGATTGACTTGGGCGTGGGAGATTGGTCCCAAGTCTGGGAAGAGCCTGAGCGCCAGGTAGGGAAGTCCTCAGCCTCTCTCACTCACTCTCCCCCTCACCCACTGTTTCCTGGGATCAGGCTGGGATAGGTTAATCCCCCGGGGACATCTTGGTGACCTCTCCCTGGGGATGGAGATCCTGGGGTTGATGGAGGCCTGGACACACCTGGCTCTCCTGAGACTTGTAATCAGCCTGAGAGCCTTTAAAGAGCCAGGGAGATGGATCTGGAAAGGCACCATGGATGCTGCACTGGTGCTGTTTCTGGGCCTGCAGGAACACCATCCTCTGAAAAGGGGTGTCGGGGTGAAGATGTGGGCTCTGGACCCAGGGACATGGCCAACTCTTCTAACCCCATCACTTCCTTTTTCTTCTTCTTCCAACAGCTCAGCTGAGCTCATCGGGAAACAGTATCTGGATGCATCCTGACTACCTCTGAGAGTCCCTCAAGTTCTCAAGATACCTCTGCCAGTCTCCTAACTATTTCTGAGGAGATCTCTGCTGGTCTCCTCACTGTCTCTGCTGGTCTCACCACCATCTCTGGGAAGATCTCTGCCAGTCTCCCCACTGTCTCTGCTTGTCTCCCCCCTGTCTCTGCCACTGTCTCTGTCTCCCTGTCATCTCTGCTGGTCTCCCCACTGTCTCTGCCAGTCTCCCCACTCTCTCTGGCGGTCTCCCTAACGTCTCTGCTGGTCTCCCCTCTGTCTCTGCTGGTTTCCCCGCCATCTCAGAGGAGATGTCCGCCAGTCTCCCCACTGTGTCTACCGGTCTCCCCACCATCTCTGCCATCTCCCCACCATCTCAGAGGAGATCTCTGCCAGTCTCCCCACTGTGTCTACCAGTCTCCCCACCATCTCTGCCGGTCTCCCCACCATCCCTGGGGAGATCTCTGACAGTCTCTGCCCCGTCTTTGTGAGTTTCTCAACAGGTTCTTCAACTTCTGGGGGTTTTCCCAGTAGTCCTCAGACTTCAGCTACCACCATTTCTGGGAGCACTGCAGTAACAGTCTCGGTGTCGCCAGGTGATATTTCTGTTGCTCAATCAATCTCTAAAGGGCTCTTTAGCTTGGCCCATGGCTCAGGGCGGGGGCTTCCTGTGCTTGGCCACGGGTAGGTCGACAGTTCCCCAGAAGCTCACTGAAGCAGTGCCCTGGCCCTGGTGGCTATACAAAGGACCCCCTTCTGCTTTTCAATTCACAAAGTTTTTCTCTTGTAGTTAGTGCCTTTTGTATCCTGCCTAAGACTTTTTTTTGCCTACATCAGAGTCAAAAAAATATTCTCCTATATATTCTTCTGGAAGCTTTTTATTTAGGCTCTGACATTTAAGCCTATGATCTATCTTCGATTACTTTCTGTGCATGGGGTGAGGTAGAGGTTGGTTCATTTTCTCCCCTTATGGATAACCAATTGTCCCAGAACTATTTATTTCAAAGACCCTCCCTCTCTGCCCACCATTGAATTGTGTGAGTACCTTTATCCAAAGTCAAGTGAGCATATATGTGGGGGTCTATTTCTGGACTCTATTCTGTTCTTCTGTGTCTATTCTTATGTCAGTGCCACAGTACTTAATGACCACAGTTTTGTACCAAAGTTTCAAGATCTGGTAGGATAAGTCTTCTACTTCTCTTTTGCTTTAAGATTTCTTGGCCATTCACAGTCTTCATTTTCATAGAGTCAGTTCATTAACTTATACCAACAACTTGCTGGGATTTTGACTGAGGGTGCACTGGATGTAATTTCTGCTTCTGCTCTCACTTTGATCTCTCCTGGCCATTTTCTGTCTCTGTCCTTCTAGGATCTGTCTCCCTCACAGCAGCCCCAGGAACTGCTCCCACTGTGCCTGGCCTTCCACACCTGGCATGGCTGTCTCAGGAGTTTCCACTCCCATAATGGCTAGAGCGGTCACCACATGCCCTGAGCTCGGCCTCCACACCAGTAAGGTGCTCTTATTTGCATTGGGCCATTTAATAGTAAAGATGTTGGTTGGACCCATTCTCTCTTATTCTTCTGCAGCCAGCCCTCACTCTTGGAGGGGAGCGTAGGAACAGGCATTTAGTGCCTGCTTTCAGCTGTGTTTTGAGTATGTCTGAGGATGTCCACAATTCTTAAAGGGGTTTTGGTGCTTCTGGTCACACCACAGCCAGATATCTGTTACCTGACTGCTTCCTTAAAAAGTTTCCAACCTCCTTCCTCATGGCCTGATGCGTCTTTCTGGTGCAAGAAGCATCCCCTCCAAGGATCCTATTCTCCCTCCTCCCTCTGTTTCCTCCTCTTCTGCCCTCCATTCCCAGCAGGGGAGGCATGGCCAGCCTCCCCCCCCCCCCCCCCCCCCCCCGCCCCGGTAGCTGAGGACAGGAAATGAGGAGAGGGAAGACAGAACAACAGGCTCTAGCTCCCCTTGATAACTAGCATCAGGCCCGGGGGGTGGGAAGGACTGGGGTTCAGAAGGAGAGAGGTCTGCCTGGGCATCCTCATAGCAGACACATCGCAGATTGAGAGAGACACAGACAACAGAGCCGGAGATACTGGAAGAAGGTTCAGAAAGACGGAAAGATGTGGATGGCAGTGAAGAGTTTAGAGACCGACAGACATATGTCCACAGGTGTCAGGGAAGAGGTGGCTGTGGCTTGGATGGAAGCCCTTGAAAAACCCCCTCCACTGAGATTCTGTTCTCAAGATGCGGAGAGAACTCCACAGGGAGGTGTGGTCTTTGAGCTGCACAGACATCAGAGTCACGGAAGGAAAGATGGAAAGCCATGGAGGGCAGTGGGGAGCTGGGGGTTGAGGTTCCTCCTGCCTTGATCGCTGTTCCTCTCTGCTCCTCAGGCCCGAAGCCTCAGGAGAAGAACCCTGTCCAGGACTGGGCCATCATGCCAATCACTCTCACTGTAGTGGCCACAGTGGCCAGCCTACTGTATGGTATCAAGAAGGTGAGTGAAGCTGTGGCCTAAATGTGTGGGTCCCCAAGGCCAGTGGGGCTGGGACCTGGCATTCCAGGACTCCGAGAAGAACAGGGGCTTCAGGGAGGAGGATGCCAGCCTGCCACACTTAGGGAGAGGTGAGGGGGAAAGGAAACCTTGTCTGGGTGGCTGAAACACTGACCAGGCAGGGATGGGGACTTGGGGCCACCGAAGGAGGCTGGGGAGGGCTGGAGGCTGACCAGCCCAGGGAGACACTAAATTTAGCTCTAGGCAGTGAAGAGCTGTC